CATTTACTATTCAAACTATTATGTACCAATATAGCTCCATGATACTATGCATACATGATTCTTTATATTAGTTGCTGGTTTCTGAGAGATAAAGTGAGAATTATTTAGTAAATTTTAATCAACGAAATCGCCTGTCCAAACTTTTTTTGATGGTGATGCTATGGAAGAATTATAATGGTCATCAGGAATCAAAAATTCATATTCTCTAGAAATAAATCAACATTAGTTTACAAGCTCTGAAAATAATAACCCGCTGTAATGAGGTGTGGTAGTATGTAATCATGGATTGCGTAATCGATATCGATATAATTTAATTGGGACGATAAAAAGATCGTGATCAATTTTTACGAAACCCCTCTTCAAAATGTCCTCCTTTTGTAGGAAACTTCTAAATATGCTCGATAATATAATCCATAACTATCCAGAACTGCCAAACATTCCCTTAGGTGAAGAAAGGTAAGTGTGACTCGCACGTGTTTTTTTAAAATCTTCTCAATGTTGACTCTTTGTTCTCGGTTTACCATTTCAGATTGGAAAGAGCGTTTCAGTGAAAGATTATAATACTTTTCTTGACCGTAACGAATCGACTGGATACAAATTTATTTGGGAAAACGAAAATGTATACATTATTGAAATGGCAAACCGAGAACATGAAGCTGTTGTATCTGTGCTTTTTAAATGTTTTGATAGACCAAATAATAGTGTAATACATGGTCCAATAGAAATTTATGGTCAACCATGTAAGATATTTCCATTAGTCTGCTTGGTCTTTGGCTTGTAATAACAATTCACATTTTTTCCTATAGATCATTATAATCCAATCGGCCATGGGGAAAAAATAGCACCAGATATCGCAGTTTGTCCAAGTAATGCTCATGTTTTGCGACCATTAATTCGGCATCCTGGTCCCCTCCTAGTGGCGTAAATGTACTTTGAGTTTTTATTTTATTATCATAATATTTACTTTTGAGTCACTTTCCTAATATTAGTAATATATTCATAGGGTCGTGCTCACGCGAGAATTATCTGTGAGGTAGCTACCGCTCAAGGCTTCGATCTCTGGAATACTAAATGCGAAACATGGATGCATGAAGAATATGTGCGTTGTGTACTTGGTATTAAGCTTGGTTCTAAAAGAAATATCGGAACAACTGTTCATCGGGCAATGATTATATGTCTAGCACCTGGTATTATTCTGTTAGTTTCATCTCTAAGATTGTTTTTAACATCAGGCTAGCGTGGAGCACCAGCAGAGAGTGTATTATCAATAAATGCAAATTTAGCAGGAGTATATGTCACAGAAGTAAAGTTATCTACTGTTATATTCTTATGATCAATGTCAGAGGATTAAAGTAACTTTTGCAATATAATAGTGGGATTTCAGCACTATACAATATAATAATAATACATCTACACTTACTGGTTGCAATGCTTCGAATCTTAATGCCTTTCAAGTGACTATTCCTATATCTGATGTTTTCTATGACCCACCATAGTTGGGGAGTTCCTGCAGCATATGCTGTATTTGTGCCGGTAATACAAACTCCTAAAAAGAAAATAGCCAATCGGTGAATTCAAATTTTGATCGTTCCGGATCAGCCCGACATGAATTCCGAACACGTGTAAAAGAAGAAAAAGCGAAAAA